AAGTTCGGGGGCCCCGGGCGGATGAAGCAGAGCTGCATCATGCGGCAGTGCATCGCGGTGAGTGGCACGCGGGGCCTCCCGGCGCCGCAGGACCGGCGCTGCTCTGCGGTAGACCCGGCGCCTCTCTCCATCAGGCCCCCCTACACCGGCGGTTTGTTTCTCTGCTTACAGAGAAGGTTCCCGCAGCAGAAACCCCCGAGAGACGCGCCCTCGGGGAAGAAAGGGGCTCCGATGAGTGCTGTTTTCAGATTCCACAGGGCAGAGCTTCCTGCCATGTGCGCGGGCCCCTTTTTCTTCATCGTCTGATGGTCTTACACCTCCTTCCTCCTCTAGATGACCGGGTGCTTTGAAGTCTCTGCTATTAGGGAGGTTAGGGCAGCCTATCCTGTCTGTGACCCCGTTGCCAGCATTTATGATCCAGCTCATGCAGGCCCTCCCTTCCTTCCTGTCCTACCTTCAAAGTCCGAGGTCTGGGTGGAAGGTCAGTGCTCCTCCTGAAGGGGCAGCCCCCGAGAAAGAGGCTGATTTATGGGGCTCCGGGCGCTGCAGAGCCTGGCCAGCATGGCCCATGGTCTGCCTGTGGGTTCCCTCCCGCATGCACCCATGCAGTCTGCTTTCCCTGGGGTCCCCCCTGTGGGGGTAGGGACAGGATCCTGGGCGAGCTACTCCCAAGGCCCAGCCTGGCATCCGCGAGCCTGCTGTGCCCTCCAAGCCCAGGGGCTCCTCCCCCTTGTCCCTCGACAGGACACACTGTGTTTTGTCTTTTATTGTAAAAAATACATAACAAAATTTACAATTTTAACTTGTTTTTTTTGGCAAAATAAATATATTTTTTGTGCTATATTCAATACATGTGTATAAGGATTTTTGTGGGGGGCGGGGTTTTGGCATAAGAAACATCTTATTCGTACTTAAACTTACTAAAAGTCGATAAGGTCCAATAAATTATCACAATATATTTTCACTTTCTTTTTTCAAAATTTTATTGTTACTTGTACTTACTTCCTAAACAAACGGGCAAAAATCCACTCCCCGATCCACACAACCAAATAAACAGATATATCAATTTCAGTGCACAAATAAAACATTTTTCTTCTGCTCAAACAGGTGTTTTATGTTCACCAATTATATTTTATCTCTATTTTTTTTAAAGGTTTTTTGGGGGATTTTAAAAATACAGTTTACATTCAGTATTATTTTGTATTGCTTTCAGGTGTACAGCATAGTGGTTAGACAATCATCTATTTTACATAGTGTTCCCCCTGATATATCCAGTACCCATCTGGCCCTGTATATAGTTAGCACAGTATTATTGACTATATTTCCTATGCTGTATTTTACATCCCCATCATTTTAACCAGTTTTAAGTGTATAGTACAGTTCATACAACCTATATGCCCATTGTTGTGAAACCGATCTCTGGGACTGTTTCATCTTGCCAAATGGAAACTCTATATCCATTAAACCACAACTCCTCTTTCCCCCTCCCCACCCGCCAACCCCTGGCAGCCACCTTTCTGCTTTCTGCTTCTCAGCAGGACTACTTTAGCCACTGCAAGTGAGTGGAATCAGACAGGGTTTCTCCCTCTGGGACTGGCTTATTTCATCCAGCATAATCCTCTTACGGCTCATCCACTCCGTAGCCTGTGATAGGATTTCACTCTTTTTAAAGGCTGCATGCTATTCCATTGTGTGTTATCTACTGCATTTTCTTCATTCTTTCCTCTGTCCTTGGACATTAAAGTTGCTTCCACCTCTCGGCTATTGTTAATGATGCTGCGATGAGCATGAGTGTGCCGATACCTCTTTGAGGTCCTTTTTTGAATTCTTTAGTATATATATTCCCAGAAGTGGGATTGCTGGATCCTATGTAGTTCTATTTTTTTTTTAAGTTTTTGAGGAACCTCCACACTGTTTTCCATCATGGCTGCACCAGTTCACATTCCCACCAGCTGTGCACGAGGGTTCCAGTTTTCCCCAGGTTTCTTGTTGTCTCCACAATTTCTCGTTATTTTCTGTTTGTTTTTATTTTATTAGAGTGGCCATCCCAGTGGGTATGAGGTGTGATAGGATTTCATTCTGGTTTTGATTTGCATTCCCCTGATGAAGAGTGATATTGAGCTTCTTTTTGTAGGTTCAATATGTGATGACGTCTGTGGGGCTTTTTGGAGAAATGACTTGAGGTCCTTTGCCCAATTTCTAAATTGGATTGCTTCTGTTTTTGTGGTTGTAGTGGGAGCCCTTTGTATAATTTGGACATTCACCACTTACTCACATAACTGATTTGTAAATATTTCCTCCCACCCGTAGGTTGCCTTTTTACTGTTGATTATTTCCTTTGCTGTGCAGAAGTTAAGTTTCATTGCTGCTGTTTTTGTTACATGTACCCAGGTCATTTGAATGGATTTCAGGGAATTTGAGATCCCCCTTGAAATGAAATACAGATTTTTATCTGTGTGCGTGCGTGGGTGCATTTTTGTAGAGAGGTGGTCCATGTGACTTGTTGTGTTCCGTCAGGATTTGAGAGGTTGTCTGTAGAGACCGTTGTTTTTGAAAACAGTGTCACCTAAAACTGGGTGTGCTGGCCATGACCTGGGACTGTCTCTCCTTTGTAGCCTTGTTTTTTCTCTTCCACCCTCTCCCTCCCGCCCAGTGTCCCAGGCCCAGTTAGAGGAAACCTGTCTCTGCTATCACCTATTCTTTTTATGTATATTTATTATTGATTTCAGAGGGAGATAGAGCCCAAGCCAGTTTGGCTCAGACCTGCGGACTGAAAGGTCCTCCCGGGCTCCTGCAGGAGGCAACCAATTGATGTGTTTCTCTCACGTCAATATTTCTCTGTCTTACCCTCTCTCTTCTAAAAATCAATGAAACATATCTTTGGGTGAGGATTAAAAAGAGAGAGAGAGAGAAATAAAACATCAGTGATGAGAGAGACATTAATCGGCTGCCTCCTACACGCCCCACACTGGGGATCGAGCCCACAACCGGGGCATGTCCCCTTGCCCAGAAATCCAACATGACCCCCTGGTTCATAAGTCCACACTCAATCATTGAGCCATGCCAGCTGTGC